AGTCAACGTCGCTACTCAGTGCAAGTCGCGCCCAGGTTAAACCTCATACTTTCCAAACCTCATGATTGCCATTTGAAGAACACATTGGATTGTGGGAAAATCAATGTTTATCAACACAAATGTCGCACATGCGCAGCGCGACGACTACCGCGCGTTAACACTCATAATTTAAATCAGTATGTTTATTAGTAAGTAACAAAACACAAATAAATAGCCCCCTGACTTACAATTTAAACCAATTTTAAAGAAGGATGTCGGTTCAATGTCGAAAACTATAGAACGATGGCTATTCTACTATGTTTATCTAAGATATTAAGTTTTGATCTAGTTTTAGGTGTATTTAATAGTCAGATTAATTCACAATTTAGATGTGCAATACAATCAATAAATCGGTTTAATTCTATTTAAGCAAGTAATACATATTTGGATATTTTCACTGACATCTGACAACAAATCTGATGTTTCTACTGATTTTGTATTGAGCAGTTTTGTCCTGTTTTCACGTTGCATGATTATTTATAACTTAATAATGCAGATTACCGAAAACGACGTGGAAATCAGTCAATAAAAGATCCCGAAGTAATTGTAGTACGCGATACAATGTTTACATAGTATCTACTGAGTCGTTTTACTAACCAAATAAAATAAAGACGTCGCATTTTCATTGATAGTTTTGAATCATTTTGCATATTTCTTAAATGCCATGATGAACCATATTAAACTTTTAAAATACTACTATGTAATATAATTAACGTTATTATAATGTAACTACTCCAGTCCTTCGCCACCTGCGTGATGGAAGGTTCGTGGTATTAGCGAGGCGATTCATGTTTTCTATGATTATGTGGTGCTAGTGGGAACCGATAACGAACGTCAAAATCAAAAACCTAACCGGTAAAATAAACACATTCAAGAGACAGGTAATGTAGTGTAACGTAATGTACAGTAATGTAAAGCAATGCAATGTTATATTATACTTTATTACACCAGTGGCCCGATGTACAACACAATATTTAAAAACATACAGAAAGAACTAGTAGCTTAAGAATTGTATGGGAATAATATGAAACGGAAATTTTGCGTGCGTTAGGTCTAAGATATTTATTTGTATTAAAATGTCTCCAAATTGGTTGAGGTTAAATAATGTTAAGGTCAGTATCGATTTAACTATTGCACATAGAAATCCCACTCGCTTTATATTATTATTAATATCATCAAAGGAAGGGAGAGCGAAGCCTACCTAAATTGATAATGCTTTTACTTTGAGCCACTTAGAAAAATTTACAAGAACATATAATATATAATATAAATTCGAAAATGTTGTTTGTCGTTCTTATGGTTTTTACATTTGTACACTGTAATGATAAGTTATCTGTCAACATATGTTATTTAATACATCTATTATTGATAGACGCATCATCATGAAGGTTTAGCATTCTACCAAAATATAATGTCTGACTAATATACAAATGTTTATCACTCTCAACTGATACACTAATAATAACTAACCAATAATATAATTTTAGTTTACCCATTTCCGCAAGAAGGATATATTCTAACTAACCGTAATTAAAGAATAAATCAAATTGCAAAGTTTTTTTCTGGCTTCAGGGGAACTATGATGTGATATAATAATTAAAAAGATTGTTGTGTCTCATTTCAATTATATATAAACTAAATTACAAAGTTCATTCAACTGATGTTCAATATATTTATATTAGGTTTGTGATCAAAAACTATGCAATACTTACATAAATATACAAACACTAAACATATAATCAAACACTGTATTTTAATGATTATCACCAAGATAATTCCTAATTTAGATAATAATATCACTTTGGTAACTCAGCTATATGTCTGTCTACCATGCACAAGCCAGTCTTTATCTAAACTCAATTTCTCAAACACTTCGAGAGACAGGCTTTTCGGATCTATTTTCCCAGTTGAGGTTTTTGGAAAATGATCAAAGACCATCACATGTTTTGGAACGTGAATGTCCATACTAATATTGCTACTATAAAACTTCTTCAGTTCATGGCCAGATAGTGGAATATCGCCAATCAGGGAGACACATGCGCAGAAGTCTTCTTGTAATTCTTCATCTGGCACCGGCACTATGTAAGCTGCTTTAACGTTTGGATGACTCAACAAAGACTCCACTAAGCTAGAATAGTACATCGTTTGTCCTCCTTTCATGATGATATCCTGGCGTCTTCCAACAATGGTAATATAACCATTGTTATTTATCTTAGCTATGTCACCTGATCTATACCATCCATCTACGCTCTTAACCTGCCTTGTCTTGTCTTCATCATTAATATAAGAATAAAATAGGAAATTACTGCGGACGAGTAGCTCACCAAGGGTATTGATTGGCACTATACCACCATTTTCATTCACTATCTTAACCTCAGTGTGACCAAATGGTCGCCCAACTTTGTCAATAACCTCATTTTCACTCGCTATGAGATCTCTCCCACTGATGAATAAGGCTTCTGATGAGCCATATGTATTTAGTACTTTAGCGTGGAATAGTTTGTTTATTTTCTTAATGAAATCTTGCGGAATTGCTGCAGCACTTGTCACAATATATCGAAGAGACGAACAATCATACTGATTTGTGTTTCCATGATGTAGCAGGTTATTAAGACTAGGGTATGTAGCAAATAGAGCAGTACAACGCTCATGCTGTATAAGAGCAACATTATCTTCTATGTTTGCACCAGGGGAAAGTATGACTGACGTCATTCCAAGTATGAGTGGAGCTATGAGAAACATTTCCGAACTACCATGAGACAGTGACGTACATGTAGCTAGCAGGACGTCATCATTCGTCCATCCATATCTGTCTGCACACATCATGTAGAGGTTTTGATGCGATGCCTGAGAATGAAGAGTGCCTTTTATTGGTCCAGTACTACCAGACGTGTATAGAATTGTATACAGGTCACCAAACTCAACGCACTTGCTGGTTTCTTCCAGTAACTGTTTACTATTACTTGGATCTATTTTGCCTATATTAGTATTATCCTTAGAATTCCATCTGTCTTGAGATCCTGCCAGGTTGGTGAATAGTAAACGAAGTTTTGACTTGTCTCTCACTTGTAGTATTTCAGATGCTGTCGTTTTCAAGTCAGGTATGATTTGCATTATCTGCTTGTGTACATTGTCGTCATCGGCACCAACTAGCAGAGCAACGCATTCACTTTTCAGTATAGCAGTTTGCAACGTACTATTTGGCATACCAATATTAAGTCGTGCTAAGATCACACCAATCTGTGCAGCCGCGTGTTGTACCAATATGTAATCGGGTGCACACGATGACAAAATACCCAGAATATCCCCTCGTCTCAGCCCAATACAAATAAACTTAGTTCCTAATGCATCTACTTGTCTTTTTAATTCTGCAAAAGTGAGGCGTACCTTTTCTAGTGGAAATACATATGCTTCTTTATCTGGCGTCCTCTGCACTACATAATCTAACATATCTTTTGTTGTAACATGTGCTAGAGGAACACTGGATGTTGAGTGATAGTAACTCTTGTTAAGTGCTGCACACAACATGATGTGATTTTCTGCAAACAAATTGTAACATATATATTGGCATGGGCGTATGTTTCATTTTGAATGACTGTGAATGAGTGTGATGGAATGGTTATATGTAGTCAGGTATTCGGGGCTAGGATGTGTGAGTGACCCAGCACCGTCCATGTGCAAAGCAACAATCCTGTCACACCCTCTTTTTGAGAGACGAAAAATAATAGCTGTATTGTAATAAATATAATCAGTTTATCAAACACAAATATTCATTTGTTAAATAAATAACACTAACATCGCTATGGTAACGGATACAGAAACGGCAAAACATTAGTGAGAGGAAAATTAAAACTTATGTATGCAACACGTCACGTCGCCTCACAAAATAAAGTTCAGTGATCCTGTATTTAAATATCACAGTTCAATTTTATTGAAGTCTAAGGGAAATAACTTTTAACTTCCAATATGGCCCTATAATATTATACTTTTGTACTGATCCATACCAGCTATTTCCAATTGGCAAAACTATTATGTCATTATTAAAAAAATAATCGATTGTTTTTGCATTTTAAAAACCAAGCGAAAATAACTTAACTAACCACAGATCCGTTGACTAAAGTCTTACAGGGATATTTACAAGTTCAAAAACACAAAACAAACTAATTACAACAGTTGACAAATGAATCAAAACAACTGACAAGTACACAATTGATAAGTCTACAAAATGTGAATAATTATCAAATGTTCAGTTCTTTTACTTATGAAATACAATGTCGACAGAATAGCTACCAGGATATCACAGTAGTTCTATAAATACTTAATACTCGAATTGTTATTCAATACACAGTTCAACGGGCAAACCCTATAACTGAACTACCCAAAATGGCGTAGTTATTTTACAAATTGATATGTATTAGTTAATGAACATTCATTGTTTTAATACATGATAATTTATAGAGATGTACCATGAAAACAATTAAAGATTTGGCAAACCAAAGTCTACACTCATTCAAATGCATAAATGTTCCTAATTATTGAGGTAAGGCCATCTTCACATTTTAACTGAATTTAGCTCAGCTAGAAAGAAAACATTATTATACTTTTACATCGTAGGGGAATAACTTATTTACCTAATGAAGTATTCGTCTCCAATATACTGGGAAAGATGGTGCTCGTCATGCATATACAGATCATGCAAATATGCTTACATTATTTAGTAGTAAATGGTCGAAATCAATTTAGATACGCCATAAAACGACTGTACATGGTATCTAGCCGGAGACATCCCCAACAAACTGTAGTGTCAGACCTGGTATGTAATATTGACCAAATCTTCTATTCAGGTCCTTCATTTATACATAGTTCTAGATACATTGTCTGGAATAGCTATACCATGAGAGTCTGGATATAGTAAATGTTCTACTTCAGTCAACCGGTAAGTTTTGATATGGAGGACTGTGTTGTAACACAAATAAATCTCCCTACTTCTAATTTCTGTACCGGTATAACTACAAAAACGGACGTGTTTTGTCACTAAATAATACACGGGCGTGTTTCACCAGTTGTGTAAAATTATCGTTTATATTGTTCAGCTAACACACAGTGCTTATTTCACTCAAACATGGACTGTTTTGTCACTAAATAATACCCGTACGATGTTTGACTCGAATGCTGATTTAGATTTAGTAATTGTTTGTGTTCTACAAACTTAAACCATACAGAATAAATAGCTCTCAAATACGTAACTGTAAATAATGGTGAAAATGTATTAAATAACTAACTTACAGGCGATTCTATTTCCTGGGTGCGACGACTCTTCCGTTATCTTGATTTCTGTGGTATGGAAATTGACTCCCAAGAATAACCAATATATTTATGTTGAATGTACCAGTAGAAATCCAGAGTAAATAAGTATTCAAAATGGTAATCCAGAGTAAATACCCGGATGTTTGACCTCTTGTAGATAAATAGTATACATGGATTTGTGATAACCGCTTATTCATATTATTAATATAAGAATACTCCTACCGGGACCACATACATAGATCATATAATATTCGATGGAGACTATTTTAAAAGAGATAGAATTTTCTATTATATGAGAGTACTTTGCATTTGAGATATAGGATCGAAATTTTTGAAACCCCAAATTGGTTTATGAAGACAAAGGTGACATTTTATGTAAAAAGCAACTACACTCATGGAACGAGGCTAAAGTCAAAATGGATTAAAACTGCTTTCAAGCATGGACGAGCACGCCAACCAAAATGTGTAATTAACAAAAAAACATACCACATTCATATACCACATTGCTCAGGGGAAGCAATGTAAATAAAGTAATCAACAAACATTGGCACGTAATTGAAAACAAAAACGTGCCCAAAATGCATTTCTAACTTCACCCACCGCGGCTGTATGACACGATAATAGTAAATTAATGTACAAAATCGAAAGACCCTATCAGACAAACAATTGACAACAATTCGAATATCACTATATTAATTACGACTCTAGCCACTAACTAGAAACGAAGAGAAATTAAGTATGACCAATGAGAGACATGATAATAGATACGAAAAAGCACCAACACGAAACGTTGACTCAGTGCTTTATTCTTAATGTGTTCCACTGCATTTAAAGTGAACATAAACACATTGAATGATTCATTTCAGCACATAACGTTATCGGACATCACATCTACTACAATTAAATAATTTAATTTCCCCGTTACGATGTTGAAATTCCATTTCCCCGTTATTTTCGTTTTACCACGATATTACGTTTGTGATGGTCACTGATTAGAGCTACTTTTACGTCCTGATAAGACAAAAATACTTATTTGGTTTTGAAGAATGGTTTGAATTCTAAGGTCAACTCGCTGTTTTATTTTGACCTTGTATACCCTAAATAATGTCCTTGTTACAACCACACGTACATGTTTCAACGAGGTGTGTCACTCCCGTTCAGTTTAATATGCCCGGATTTGTTACCGTTGTTATATTTTTAGTATAAGGCGATTTATTTCACCATGTTTGGAATGTCTTTAGTATAAAATTTGTATATACTAAGTCTTGTATACCGATAGGGCAATTTCATGGCTAAAAACAATGGGTTTGATTTACATTACATATCACGTAACACAGGGCATAATACATTATCTGCTATCCTTTTCAATTTATCAGCCACCTTCACTACTGAGTTTTGTCATTTTTTCGGTGACAGTTTACAAATAAGTGTATATTAGTAAAGTACGATAAAAAGGAGTACATTTAATAATAACATACACGGCCAAAACGAAGAAACGTGTCTCTCATTGTAGACTCTACTCATACTGCTCTGTTGTCAGGATCGCGTCGTTCACTCGCCGTCTAAAGCAATTTATTTGGTCGCCTCAACTTGCTATATACAAGTGTTATGTTTTTCAAGGCAACTTTTCTGACTTTGCTGAAACGTTCTTGTCCTTCTAAAGCCTTTTTCAGAAATCTTGCGTTCTTTCCAAAAACGACGTTCCACTTAATGTTATTTTTTATTATACATAACGCCAATTATACCAATCAACTTTAAAAATTATTCCCTTTCATACCAACATTTCTGACTCTGCAGACTACTTTCGTGTCTTCGGAAGCCGTTTTGCGTA